AGCACCTGTGACTGGCATCTTCAGAGTGCAGGAACAGGTGCTGGCGAAACGTTAGGAAACAAAACTTCCAGAACACGGCCACACAGCCCGGAAGACCCACACCAGCCATCGTATGCCGGCCGCGAAAGCCTTCGACAATAAAGAAGCTGAGAAAATTCCTCTGCGTGTCCCTGCAGAAGGTTCTCCAAGCCATCCTTACCCAGGAGGGCTCATGTCACCCGAAACAGGGCTGTGGGGCGGCTATCTGTGGACACAATAAGAGCGGAGGAGTAATGACGCTTTGCCGCCCTTATCGCCACTAAGTAGGCATGAATGCATTCGCTGCTGTTACAGCTTCTCACGATTGTTTGATGGGATTTTAATATTGCATTATTTTTCAACATAGGCTGGCAATTTTGATTTGGAGGAACCTTGAGGGGGAACCCTGTTCTAGAATCACAAGAAACACTGTTAGAAGTATACAGCCTGGGGAGGTTTTACTCAGTAATTTCACAAGATTTCTGCAATGATCAGAAAGACACGTTTTCAAAGCATCCTTCCACCTCTGACCTCTGTCTACTGGGTTACCTAATGTAACCTACCTCATAGGGTTGTTGTTAGAGGCAGAAGCAATGGGTCATTGCCCTGAATTTTACTGGAGGAAGGATGGCAATGAGATCAGATCGGAGGTGTGCAGTCTTTTGGAGTTAGAGGTGTTTGGAATTTTGTGTATCGGGAGCACATTCACAAAATGGCAACAATGGGAGGTTTGCCCATTTATAAAATGGCTGTCATGGTGGGCACAATCACTCACAAAGCATCTGTTGACCAGTATGTAAAAGTAGCCCCATAGGATGTTTGCTACCCTTTCAGTGGGACTTTTGTGGGCCATTGATTCCCACAAATAAACGTGATGCTATGACTGTTTCTTTGCTCTGTACTCTGCCAGCCTCTTTTATATTATTATTTTTTAAGTAAAAGGATATTTAAAATCAGACAAGAAGGAAATCTGATGGGCACCAAGGGAGGATTGGAAAGAAGGCTGCCTCCCTCTGTTAATGATTGGGCAGAACTGTTTTGCACAGGGCAGTCCAAGGATCATATCACAGTGCAGCGAAGGATTGCCTTTAAACCCTATGAGCTGCTCCTTCAAAACCTGGAGGGAGGTCCTCTTGATTTCAGTCGAGCCCCACTGCCCACTTCATCCCCATTACAGGTGAGAACCTGCTGAACAAGCCAGACGAGCGAGGATTCACCCCTCTGATGTGGGCCTCGGCTTTTGGAGAGATTGAAACCGTCCGCAACATGCTGGAATGGGTACGAAAGGTTGCATGGGGGCAATTGTCTTGGAAAGCCAACATTTCGAGCAGCAGTTGTGAAAGTTCTCTAATCTTTCTCTTACTCTCTGCAGGGTGCAGATCCCCACGCCCTGGCGAAGGAGCGGGAGAGTGCCTTGTCCCTCGCAAGCACAGGAGGATACACAGGCATTGTCACCTTGCTGTTGGAGAAGGACGTGGACATCAACACCTACGATTGGGTAACTGTCCGTGGTGTTGAGGGAGGAGACTGAAGTGGTCCTGTAAGATAGCATGATTGATGGTGTCAAAAGCCACCGAGAGATCCAGCAGGACCAGCTCTACCCCGTCCCACCACAGGTCATCCACAAAAGCCATCAAGTGGTTTTGGTACCTTGTCCAGTTTTGAACCTGGATGGAAGAACGTTCAGATAATCTGCTTCCTCCAGGGTTCTTTGTAATTGTGGCTCCACCTCCTTTTTAACACCTTCCCCAAAATGGGGAGAATGGAGACAGGATGGTGGTTGTCTAAATTTCTGCCTCTTTTTCTCGAAGGATTAAATGGGCAACAGTTTGGGCAATGTCCCAGAGTTGAATGCGTTATGGGTTAGGATAACGTAACTGATTGGGAATAGTAATTTAACTCAGAATTAGGGTGTTATTTGGGATGAAAACTGCCCTTCTCTTGCCTTAATAGTGACTAGGGCCTTAAATTGACCTAATTAGGTGTGTCATATGAACCCTCTATGTTCCAGCCCCTAAATTCCAAAAGGGTGAACATTTCAGTCCCTCCTATATTACTGCTTTGTTAATTATTTCAATTATACTTGACCTTCCTCCCAGAAAGCATCACACACCTGCCCATATTGATCCTCGCAACAATCCTGCAAGATGCGATTAAGAGGTTATAACTGAGTTCACCTTTGTGGCTGAAAGGGGATTTGAATACAGCAACTCTAAGATATGAATCTTGCCTTGCTGAGCCCTATGATCTTCTGGAGAGGAAGACTCCAGTTCCCATCGTTCCACTGAGCCATGTTGTCTGGGGATTATGGAAGCTGTCCCAACACCTCTGGCTACAGAATCATTCTTTAACCACAGGCGCGCTCTGCCCCAGTGATCCAGAGGCATTCAGAAAGGAGAGGGATCTGTGCTGGTGGCTTTACAGGGTTGGAGCTTTGGAGATCAGATGATGGGCTGGGGCTGTGGGGGCAATTGAGCAAACTAGCTTGGCTGTAAGAGGGGAGTTCTCCTATCCCTAACAGCTTACGTCAGATCTCTTCCCCATGTCCATAACCGGAATGATTTAAGTTCCATTGGATACTTTGAACGTTAACTTCCTCAACTGCATCGTAACATGGCCAACCGTGAAGATTGGCGAGATTTTTAGCTGGAAACTTCCCTAGGCAAAAGTGGCACCGATCTTCTCACAACCACCTCCCCTCCAAAAAAAAAAAAAAAAAATTGGGACAACTATGGGTTAACCTTCTCAATCATTCTTCCAGAATGGTGGAACTCCACTTCTTTATGCTGTGCGGGGCAATCACGTGAAGTGTGTTGAGGCCTTGCTAGGTAAGTCACACATACCTGCTATGCTTGATCTTCTAATCCTCCATTCCAAAATATATATTTTTTCATTGGAGGAAAAAAAGGCAACCTTTTTGGTGGCTTAAATTATTTTTGGGTTTAAATGTTTTGGTTTTTTGCATGTAATGCTAGGTGTTATAAAAGATTGACTGTGAATTCCATCCAAAATGGTAGGACACTGGAGTGTCAGTTTCCGGCAATTGCACCATCACAATTCTATGACCTGCCAGGGGGAATTCTGGGAGATCATCATCGTCGTCATTATCATCTTGGCTCCAGTGGAATCCAAGATCTATGATGCAGTAGTGCATTATAATTATTTACAAGTTTTATCTTGTTACAGTGACATGGGGACTCCCAACCCACCTATTTTTTGCTCTGTGGTTTCAGCCCGGGGTGCCGACCTTACCACTGAAGCTGATTCTGGCTATACTCCAATGGACCTTGCGGTGGCTTTGGGGCACAAAAAAGGTAAGTCGGGGGGGGGATTCTTTCATGGCAGCCAGAGTGTTTCTAAGCACAGCTAGTCAACTACTAAACATTTCTGTTGCTTAAGTTTTGGGTAAGTGTGAACGCAAGTTCTCCCCCATGGAAGAGCCTGGTTGCTTGGTTCTAGCAGGGATGTCCTCGTGAGGATATCTGTTTTTGGGAGAACCTGGAAGTGGGCATTTCTTATCCAGTTTCTCCAGCTGTGAAATGTTCTTTCTCTGTTCAGTTAGAGATGATGCCAGGCCGCAAGCATTGGGCATCAACTGAAGACATGTTATTTGGCTAAGATCCTGTACAAAGTTTTGTCTGATTTCAGACAAACCAGAGTGTGATACAGCATGTTATGTGATTCTGCTTTCTGTCTCTCTCCTTCTAAGCTGGTTCTCACGTTTTGCAGATGTCATGTTCTGTGGCAGCCTGTCAAACCACCCTTTAAAAGAAGGACATCACCGCCTTCCCTAATCTGGATCACAAGATTTAGCATAGAGGCATTATCTGTGGCTACAATTTCATTTCATCACAGACTCTTCAAGGCAGCAGTTGTACAATTTTAAAAGCAGCATTTCACAAAATTGATCAGTTTTTAACAATTAAATTATCCAGAGAAAGGATTTAATTACTATATTATTAATTGAGAGCTGGTTTGATGTACAGGTAGTCCTCACTTAACAACTGTTTGTTTAGCAACCATTCAAAGTTACAACAGTGCTAAAAAAGGGACTTACAACTGGTGTCTGAAGTTACACTGGTTGCAGCACCCACACGGTCACATGATTGCGATCTGGGCACTTGGCAACCAGCTCACACTTACGATGGTTGCAGTGTCCTGGGGTCATGTGATCCCCATTTGTGACCTTCCCAGTTGGCTTCTGGCAAGCAAAATCAACAGGGAACCACATGATTCACTTAACAACTGCCACAAAAAAGGTTATAAAATTGAGTCCGGTCACATGATTCACTTAACAACCGCATTGCTTAGTGACCTAAATTCTGGTCCCAAGTAGGGTTGTTAAGCGAGGACTACCTGTAGTGGTTAAAGGCACCAGGCTAGAAACCAGGAGACCATGAGTTCTAGTCCAGCCTTAGGCACCAAGCCAGCTGGTGACTTTGGGTCAGTCCCTCTCTCTCCACCCCAGGGAGAAGGCGGCATGGGAAAACCACTTCTGAAAACCTTGCCAAGAAACCTGCAGGAACTTGCCAAGAGTCAAGGACTCAGAAAAGGCAGGCACACACCTACACCCAACACCCTCGCTACCTATCCTTCCAGTGCAGTAGAGTGCTGAATATAAATACTTTTCCAAACAATAAAAATTCTTCTTTGCTTTCTAGTCCAACAAGTGATTGAAAAGCACATTCTCAAGTTATTCCGGAACAAGGAAAGAGATGAAAAGCACCTTGGGTCAGAGTGATGAGCATCTCAGTTTTCTCTCCTCAATCAAGGAAATGGACGGAAGGGTCTTTCAGACAGACCCGTTCTGTGGGAACCTGCAGAGATGGTACACAACTGGGCCTTTGAAGACAACAGGGTACCGAGAGGAGCACCTGAGTTTTTCCAAAAGAAACTCAGCCTTTTGAACAGTGGGTTACTGGGGCGTCCCAATGCCAAACTTACTACTTCTTCTCAAGGAATTGCTAATTTACCTCTCCTGGAGCTTTATGGAAATTTCTCCTGTATGCCAAGCCACAAATGGAAGAAAAAAGGAAACTGTTACCTAGCAGAACTTCCTTCAAGTTATACAAAAATCTTACTTAGATGTACCTGTGTGCAGGAGAGAGGAAAATGTGGGATTCTAGTATGATATGCCTCAACTACTTAGGACAGTATTACTCAACCTTGGCAACTGTAAGATGTATGGACTTCAACTCCCAGAATTCCCCCACCCCCCATGGTCGGTTGGGGGATTTTGGGGGTTGTGGTCCTTTAAATTTTTAATTTTCAAAGTTGGGTAAATTTTTT